ATCTCACATTTATGAAATTAAAGCCTTGGGTAAGGATTCTATGTCTAATTTTTGTAGCTATTCCTCCACGCATCATGATTTTATCAAGCTTTAAGCTACTTTCATGAGAGTGCAAGAAATGGGTCTTTGAAGATGTAGATTACTTTCATGTGTATTCATGGTAGATCATCTTTGATTTTATCATTTTGAGTTGAGTTTTAAAGTCCTTGCATGCATGTGAGCTTTAATCATGCCCATGGTTTCAGAATTCATGAGTTTGTTGATCAACATTTGCATGTTTTGAGAAAATCAAGAACATAGTTTGAAGATCTTTTATGCAAGAGTTTTTGAGTTTAAAATTGGCAAATTCATGAGCCTTGAGCAAAAGAATTTGTAAACAACCAAGTGTTCATGTTTTAGAAAGGTTTTCGAGCATTAAAAACAAGCCAAGCATGAGTGTAGCCATTGAAATCGCATTTTGAAACTCAAGCCCTGTTTTTGGAAACCCAGAATTTCACAGTCCGCTCGAGCGAGGAAACCTGCGCTCGAGCGAAGAATGCGAGCTCTCAGTATTTTTCTACAGTCATGAGCTCTCCGCTCGAGCGACCACTTGGACGCTCGAGCGAACCCTTTTGCATGTTGTCGATACGCTCGAGCGTGGATTTCGACCAACCAGTACTTTTTCCAAGTTTGCAGGTCGCTCGAGCGACCCCTCTCGTTTTGTATGTCCGCTCGAGCGAGGAAGTCTACGCTCGAGCGGGGACCTTATTTTCGGAAAATTTTACCAAGTGTTCCAAGGCATGTTTTGGTATCCTCATTGCATCTTAGGCATTCTTAAGTCTTAATTAAGCCATATTAAGGAGGTTATGGATTAAAAACACACTAAGGAATGAATGTACTAAGTTAAGGGAAGGCAAGCAGGTGTGTTTTAAGCAATGAGCTAAGAATTAACAAAGACCAACATAATCTAAGCTAAGCCGTGTTTGCCAAGTACTTGTGTAATGATAGGATCTGTTGGTGTTATGTGCCTTTGTGTTTGTAGGTCAACGTCCAAGGATTAATAGACCGTTTGCAAGAACCACTGTGAGTAACATTTCTATAAAGATATGTTGATATGAATTATGTTCCAAATGAAATGTGATAAGTTATGATTTCTGAAATGATATCTGTTTACGTGAACGAACATCCCAAGTTTGAAATCTATTATGACATCCATAGATAGTCCCAAGTCATGGGAGATGGCATGAAAATGCGGGTCCATGACATACAAGTAATTACGAGATCTCGTTAACCACTTCATTGTGGTGATATGTGTTTAATCGGTATCCGGAATCGATTACTCTAGTCGGAAGACGTTCTGTAATGTGTTCTATGGGATGTACCATTATTATGTTCTGATATGAGAATGATTATGCTATGATCTGTTTTTTGCTTATGATATGTACGGATTTCGTTCACTAACCCCTTTACCTTAATGTTATTCATTGGGCTTTAGCTCATTGTGTGTATATATATGTATAGGCGAGCATTCTGGAGCCCGAGCCTGAAGGCTTTTGTCTGGATCTATGTCTTGTTGTCAGCCAACCATTGTGCCTCACGTGGAGGTTCCCGAAGTGTCCTGAGTTCAAGTTCTGTTGGTTCTATGTATACGTATAACTTGTTTTAATTATGTTGGCTGGACTTAAGTTACTGTAATGTGTGTGGGTATAATGTATGAATGACTATTGCATATGTATATAAAGTTTTCAATTATTCCGTTTCATATAAGTCAACACAGCTCATTGGACAATTATATTTATGTATTTGCTTCCGCTAGCCCCTTGATTTTGTTAATTTGTTCTGAGGCCTTCGGTAGTCCATGGATTACTGGCCGGTTACGATACTAAACCTATAGGGCCGGTTTGGGTCGTGACAGTTTCAAATTCAAAGTCCTCAACTTCGACCTCAAGTTCACCTTTCACAAGATAACTGCGGCTTTTGGTATCAATGACCAGGCTTATAAATCTCATCGCAATTAAAAAAAAGACCCTTCTTACGTCGTTCTTTCTGTTCAGTCCATGACAAATGTTTGACACTAGTAGGTAAGGATGACAATTGGTTAACAGGCTTAGGTACATAAGATATGTTAGAAGGCCGTGAAGAAGATGGACGAGAAATAGTTTTGGTCATATTATGTGCGATGGTTATTATAATTACATCCTCTTGGCCAAGTGCTAATTCAAAGGTCTCAGTTAGACTCATTGGATGAAGCAAATGAACACCAGTCCTTATGTCGGCACGAAATCCATAAAGAAAAAGACTAATTTGATACGGCTCAAGCAAACCTAGAACCATATTAGTAAGTCGCTCAAACTCTATAATAAATTCACGAACAGTGCCAATCTGAGACAGTTTGGCTAATGAACTACAAGGATCAATGTGTTGTCGAGAACCAAAATGGGTGCATATGGCTTGAGAAAATTGCTGCCAAGTCAAAACCCTAAGGGACTGTTTAATCTAGCGATAATAAGAAATAACATTGCCTTGAAGGTGCACTCCAGCCAAAGGAACCATCTGTGCGTCTAAAACACCATTAAGTTCTTGATATTGTTCAGCCTGAAATAACTACCCTTCAGAATCAATACCGTTAAATTTTGGAAAATCAATTCAGAGAGTTTGACCCTGAAAATTTGGACCAGCACGTCGATCGTTGTCGTCGTATTGTATAAGTGGATTAAGATTGATGCCAGGTTGGGGAAGGCAAACTTCACATTGCCTATCCTGCAACAGTGCTTGGATATTTTGAAGAATGGTATTATTGGTTTGTCTATCACATATCAACTCTTGCATATTAGTAGACATCATGTCTATCCTAGTAGTAAGAGCAACAACTTGTTCTTTGAGTTTTTTAACAGTCATGTTGATGATGATAAATGGCAAAGTAGGAAGAGATAGAAGTTTAAAGATCGAATGCTCTGATACCAGATGATAGAATTCTAGACCCTGAATTTGATCCTTTGATTGGGGATCGGCCACTAACAATCCTTTGAATTGGGAATTAACCACCTAAACTCTTAATATTATTAAATCTCTTCCCCAAAACCATTACAATAAGCATCCTTATATAAGAAAAATAACATAGACTTCCTAATATAAAAATTGGACTTCCTAAATTGATTAGATAGTAATTGAAAAGAAGTAGAATTCTTAATATACTTGGTTTACTAACATAAAAATATCTTATAAACTAATTAGAATACAAGTACTTGAAAGAGAAGTTTTTAATAAATTCTCTTAATTAGTATATATTTTTAGTACTAAGTTTACAAAAAAAAAAATCCTTTTGTCTCATTTGACTTTTGGATACTTCTCAAAATGTTGTGGAAGACTCTAGGAGAATGTTTTAAAAATTGAATTGGTGAGTGAACCGAAAAAAATAAAATAAATGAACATCATCATTATTCTAAAATATTATAAGATATTTTTATTTTTCTATTATATTCTAAAATTATCTAAATTATTCTAACATATAAAGGAGTTCCCATACTCTTTTCTAAAATATTCTAAAACCTACGAATTTCTCTCGACATCCATATTAGATTTTAGATTGTTCTACACTTGACTGCCCATTAAACATGTAAGACTCGGTGAACATCATCGACCAGAACATGTCATTCAATGGATCTTGCCAATCTTTGGTTGATTGAAAACAAGTTTTGAATTTGTATTCTATATGAATAAAATTTCTTTAACAGTTAATTCACAAGAAAAATTGTTATTATTATTATCACCGATGGAAAGATTTTTCTTTGATAAAAGTTTTTTTTACGGTTCAAGTTGATACGTCGTACTTATCTAATAATTAATATGAATTAACCACTATTCACTCGATTTTTGGGTGCTCAAGATGTAGTATTAGAACTGCTATGTAAGCTTTTATTTATGGAGAGTTTGAATCCCTCTCTTTCACTGTATCTTTATGCTCTCTTTCATTATATCTTTATGTTGTGTGTGGTTAGGAAATTTGAGGAGAAATTTGAAAAAAAAAATGAAAAAAGTAGGTGAATTGAGAATAAAATATGCCTAAATTTCACATAGTTTCACACACCTTTTTCCTTTTTCTTTCCAAATTCTTCAACCAAACACAACATTAGTGAATTTTTTTTAATAAAATTTGGTTAAAACTCTTTCATAATAAAATTTTCATGGATTAAAGACATTTGTAGAAATTTTTTTTTGATAGGACCAACACATATCACTATTCTCAAAATATTTTTAGTAATTAATTTCATATTTTAAACTTTAAAATAATATAATTTTTTATTTAAATGTTAATTTTTAATAAAATTAATAATTTTATAATCCTCGCAATGAGATCTATTAAATAAGATCCATGTTAACTATAAAATTTTCAACAAAAATAGCAAAATTTTTACTATCGAAACAAATGCTAAAAGTAATATTTTACTAAGTTTCACAATAAAATTTTATTTTGAAATTTTAGCATTTAAATAGTGAAATATTATCATCACCAAACACTGTATTCAGCATAATTGTTACCACACCTAGTAAAAATATTAAAAAATGAAATAAATGTAGAAGAGTAAAATTTCATTGTTAATTTAACAAAATATCAGTAAATATAAGACAAATTACATATTATTATAGCAAATCAGAGTAAATTTTTTTAATTATTTTTAAATAGAGCATCGACAAACAAAAAAACATATTACATATTGTCATAGCAAACCAGAGTAAAATTTTATTGTCATTTTTAAACAAAGTATTGACGAACAAAACATAAGCCACATATCACTAGATCAAACCAAAGTTAAAGTAGTCTAACCGTAAACAAAAACACTATTATTCAATCAGTTCAATAAAAGAAAAAAATCATAACAAACGAAAATCACATTGTTCAATCTTTAATTTCACCTAAAGAAACCTTAAAACAATTATTCACTCTTCATTGGAAGAGACAAATGAAATACACATCAATCTTGTGATCTCATCCAATCTAAGCTACCTTGAAGTTTTACAGCTCAAATAGAGGCAAAAATTACACTCTTCTCTAAAAAATGAAGCAACAATTTTCATCACGTGCTTGATATACATTATATAAGAATATAGTGTCAATCCAGTGGCAAACTGGAACATCAAAATTTCTGTATCAATTCATCACACACACATCTGTTTGCATATAGTTGCTGCTACCTATGATTCAACCTTGTAATCATCATTTACATGTGGGAGATCAACAGGTGGTGTCCAAAGAAAATGTCACAAAGCTTTACATGTTCCAAGACAACCTCATTATAATACGAAACCAACCCCACCCCACCCCCAAAATTCATGGTATGATATCCTTTTTTTGGGGAGGTAATAACCAAATAAATCTATGCAAAGCCGTCAGTGATACGCACTTTGTACTCTTCAACCATCTGTTCTCTTGCGCCACCAATCTTTGCTAGGCCTCAGAATTTGTTTAAATAGGGCAATTTTAGGGACATTCCAGTGCTCCACATGCCTGAAAGATTCCAGAGAGATCTAGATGAATTCAATAACATAGGAGAGACACGAAGAAGCATAAATAACTGGGTATATGTTACCTGCATACTTTTCCAGAATGCTCGTCGAAATAATACTCTGTGTATCCAGTAGCTGTAACAGAACTCAACATGTGTTCAAAATACATAAAACGGACCACAATTGAACTTGTTATTTACACATTTTTATCAACAGATTTATGCATGTTAGATGTATCAGTAAAGGACAATTAGTGCCTCCTGGTTCTTATGGCAGGCTGTTCAACTCCCATTCTCAACATGTGCAAAAATCATTGCCTAACAGCAACAATGACTTCCCAACCTGCCTTAATTGCATAGAAGGGTTAAAAACATACCTGAGAGAATAGGCTTCCATGGAAAGGACAATACACAACTAAAACGCCAGTGTCCGATTCCCTTATCCTGTGTCCAATATGGCTTCATGTCAAAAGTCAAGTAGAAAAACTAGTAATGAAGAGAGGTGATATTCATTGACCTTAAAAAAAAATTTAATTTTTTTTATTTAAAAAAAAATTGCATACATGGGAAATAAAATGCAATATAACATATGCAGACTTCAGAGAAAATGATTATATTTCAGTAAGTTTACCTCAAAATCCTCCCACTTCATGAGTTTCATGTTTGACTTCTCAATGAGAGAGCCAAAATTAGTACAGTTCCTCTTGAAACGTCGAAGCCCCCTGAAGGAACCCGCTGGATCGGCAAATTCACAGTCTTCCTCATACGCATTTAGTGTCAGGTTTCCTATAATGTGAAATTAGAGAAACATTCATGCAACACACTGGGAATTTAAGTATATGCATCACTCATTTTCTCTTCTCTCATTTGTTTTATTTTTTATTTTTGTTGATGCTTTGCATAGAAAGAGGGGGAGAGGCTACGGGTGTAGAACAAATCAAACTACTCAAACTTCACTCATGTAAATTAAATAAGCAAAATTTGAAAACATTTTGAAACTCATTCATTTTTTGAGCTCAACTCGAACTGTAGGATTGCATAAAAACTAAGCTACTTGACTTGACTAAAGCTAAAACTCGTTTGAGATTGGCCGCAAACCTAACCAAGCCCAGTTTAAATACATTTTGAAACATGTTTGCCTTTCAAGCCAAGCATAACAATTAAATAGTCAGCTTGACTCAACTCATTTAAAGTCCTCATACTACTTGAGCTAACAGCTTGTGGTGGTTATATGTTTTTTTATTTTTATTTATACAACATTGTAGTTGGTATGGGTAAAATTACCACATTTACACTGATTTCAAACTAAGCTGATTGGAATGATTAGTGAAAGGGGTGAAAAAAAAGAGAGGAAGGGAAGGAGAAATGGATTAATTTCTTGATCATACTGGGAATATCAAACCCATTTAAAAAAAAAAATGGGAATATCAAACACCACTTACGTTATTATTTGTAGGCAGTCTTTGAAGTGTAATAATTAAGACCATCTCCAATCAGATTCAAATCTTTCATTAAATTTAAATTTGATGAAAATTTAGTGAAAATGTTGTCCTAACCGTTTTACTAATGAAGGGAACCCTACTTTTTCGTTAAATCACGGAACTTTTAATCTTTTGTCAAATACCATTCACGGAACTTTTAATCTTTTGTCAAATACCATGGACGACCAGATGATGACCGGCCAGACAACCAGATTGGAGAAAATTTGAAACAAATTTACACTAGACCGGACGAATTGACCTCCCGGTCGATCAGTTGTTTGATAAAAATTGAAAATTTAAGGTTGGAATGATTGGTATCAGAACAGAAGCTTAAACCCAAAATTTTACTCAATTTTGATGAAAAAAAGAAAAGAAAAGAAAATAGTAAGCTTGGAGATGGTCTAATAAATTTGAATTTGATGACAATTTAAAAAAATGAAATATTGGAAATGATTTTTTTTAAAATCAAATTTGATGAAAATAGAAATTTAGAGTAAGAGAGAATTTTTAAAAGATTTTGATGAAAAAATTAGAGCATGTTATATCAAATCAAAGGTTTTACTCAAATTTAAAATCAAATCACGGGTGAGGAACTGCGCTACCAAAATGAACCCAGAGGCAAGTTCAAATTGTATGTTAGCTTAACCAGTCAGTCACTTTGAAGAAAATGAAAGTCAATTAGATTAAATTGACACAACTAAAATTAATTCAACTAAAATTTAACCCTTTTGTTTTTGTCATCTCAATTTTCTAGGAAACCAAACAGAACCGACAGCAAGGTTTGTAGAAGGAAAAACCTGTAACGAAATAAGACCTCTGGAAGTCCTCTTTAATGGTGTCTACAACTACGTTTCGATCAAGTGTGCCCAATCCATCTACGGCGAGCTCGACAACACCACCGGAACTACCTTCAACATTCGACGGTGGCGATCGGACGAAAGAAGCGGCGATTCCGAGGAGCTCAGAGCCATACCAAGCCATCTTCAGCAACACATTTTTGGGCTCAGACTGTTCATTTTCTGGCTTTGTGGATGAATTGCTTGTTAGATTATCTCCTCTGCATCGGAATTTGTAGACTCTGCTGTGGCGATTTGGCCGGAAAATGAGGCGGCGGTGCTGCTGCTGGTGGTGCCGGTGCAGGGTGGGAGTGGCGGAACCGAATGACAAAGCGGTGGCCATAGGAGAGAGAGAGAGAGAGAGAGAGAGAGAGCTTGGAAGTGTGTCCCGTGTTTTCTTCTTAAATATCTTATATTTTGAATTTTGAATAAACCAACTTATATTTGTTGAATTGGAATTTTTTTTTTTTTTTTTTTGTTTGTTAAGAAAATAATTTACATAAAAAATAGATAAATTACAAATATATTTATGAAATTTATTTAAAATATAAATTGTACCGTGTGATTTATAAATTATATTCTGTCATTTTAAATTTTTAATTACATAGAAATTATTTTTTTATTAATAAATTATTAAATTAATTAGGACAAATTATATATACCTCTCGAGGTTCAATAAAATTACAAATATTCCTGAGATTTGAGAAATTACAGATACCCTTGAAGGTACTATTTGCATAATAAATTAGGGGGCAAATTGTTATAAAAATATAAATCTCAATGGGTAATTTGTCATGAAAATATAAACCTCAGAGGGTATCTGTAATTTCTAAAACCTCAAAGGTATCTATAATTTAGCTAAATCTCGAGGGAGGTACATGTAATTTGCCCAATTAAGTAATAATTTTTAATGATGTAGAAAATAAATTTCAATTAATTATTCTTATAAAAGTAATTAAGAATTTTATTTTTTCTATTGTCTGTCATTATTTTTTTCCAGTTTGGATCTCATAAACAAGAGCAATTATAATATCACCAATTCTTTTATCAAATTTAAATTTGATTAGTAAAAAGCTAAAACTAATTTCTAATAACAAATTCATTTCAGTTGCATCAAATTAAGGAACATGCAAAAAACTTATGGCGGGAAGATGAAACACCTCTTTTACCAAATTTTTAACAGTCATTTTTAGTTTTATTTAATGAAATTTTGAATAGAGCTTGTTGTATATAGTTTTTTTTTTTTTTTTTGGCATAAAAAATGTTATAACTGGTTTTTTAAATAAGTTCGATATTTTTCAAAAAAATTTGATAAAAAAAAAAGGATTAAAGTGTTATATGCCAAATTAAGTTTTTAATGTAAATAGAGCAGAACAAGAAAAAGATAAAATTTGATGACGAGACTTTTATTGAATTCAAACACTTTTATAATGGATTATGCATTCAAAATTGCTTCGTGGCTCAAAAGCGATGGCTCGAAAATGGCTCCAAAGCACTTTTTTCTCTCTCCTCCTTATCTCTTTGTTGCTGTCCTTTCCTCGCCTCTCTTCTACTGTCTATAAGCGATACAAAAATCACGAAAAATGCTTCAGACCTCCATTGGGGTCGACTCCCAGTGAGGTGGCGCGTTGTGATTGTGCGTTGTGATTAGACAAAAAAAAAATTGTTTTATTTTGTTTTATTTTTTTTTTGAGTTTCAGCCAGTGGGGGCTCGCCACCTCATTGGGGGTGTGACCCCCACTGGGGGTCTGCAGCGTGATTGCAAAAAAAAATCTCCCATGTTTTTGTTTGCCAACACTGCTACAGACCCCCACTGGGGGTCGACCCCAGTGACGTGGCACAACACCATTCGCCAGTTTTTTTTTTTTTTTTCCTTGCCAATCACCCACAGCCACGTGGGCTGGGGGTCGCCCGCATTTTCCTTTTGTTTGCTATCTAAGCTTTGAGTTCACTGCAGCCTCAGCTGGAACCCTCTTCATTTTGAGGATAAAAACCAAAGCTTGAATGGCTCCTCTGCCATTCAAGGTGAATCCAGGTGATTACTTGGAATCTTTTATGATATGTATTGCAAGACACTGAAGTTAATAAGATGAATATATTAATATCACACACAATATTAATTTGCAGTGTGAGGACAAGAATTTTTTTTTTCTGTTTGATTGCAGTATAATTTCTTTTATCAAATGTCCAGGTTTAACTTTTCCTTTGCATGCTTTTTTCCAGTGATGTAGTTTCATTTGTAGTCTACTTCTTTTCTACTATTCTTTACCAGGAACACTTGTTATATTCAAACAAGGGAAAAAAAAAATTCATGAGTTGTATTCTGTTTCTCATGTTATATGTTGCTGGAAGACCAATAATGTAAATAATTTGGATCCCATTTCATGAAATTATTTTGGGTGAGGAGTTGTTGAAATTTGTAAATCGCTTTCTCATGCTGTCGTTCGTCCTCTTTCGTCGTCGTTCGTCCTCTTTCCTGCGATCAGCAACCGATCGGAAGGTTTCATAGAGATGAGAGAGATGGAAGAGATCGGGGGAAATGAGAGGGATGAGGGAACACAGATGTGGGGAATGAGAGGGATGACCCGTTGGCACACATAGAAGCAACAGCAGCCTCGTCGGCGGCACACAGGTCGACTCCTCTCTCTACTCTGAACAGGGCTACCAATCGCTAATGGGTCTCCTCTCTCTCTCTCTCTACTCTGTTCTCTGGTTTTTTTTTTTTTTATTTGAAACGAAAAACAGAGATGTGCTATACGAAGAAATTGGGGTGTACAAAGAATTCAGGACACTCGAGCCATTATTTTCGAGCTACCAATCGCTATTCTTATACATTTCACTAAAATCAAAAAAATATTTTGTAATTTTGTCACTTACTTTTAAGACTTTTATCATCCCAATCCCAATATTAAACAATGTCATGGAATTCAATATGTGCATCGTTGAAATACTATACAAACTAATTATTCTTATTAAATTTTTTTACTTAATGATATACACAGTAATAAAATTTTAATATTTAAAACAATATAATTGTAAGATAAATTCATAGAGAGAAAATAAATTGTATGTATAATGATTGATGTATTGAATGTGTTTTACAACACTCTCATTTATAGAGAGTAAATAGGGTACATTGGATGCTAACCCACCGAAAGCATAAAGATACAACATCATTAGTATGACAGCTATATATTACACTATATTACACTAACACTATAATACACTAACAAGCATCATGTAGTGGATTAGACAAAAACGAGTGTGTTAATGTGTATACATGGGCAAAAGTGTGAATCAATTTAAATTGCAAGTGCTTGCCCTGAGGTGATGTTTTGTGAAACAGATACATCACTGCGATATACCCGTCACTATCTCACATAGATGTGAAACCCGTTACATAAATGATACTTTCACACCATCCACAATTTCATTGTATTTACTGTCTACATTATTTGAAGAACAGGCATAGTTACATTTTTTATTGTTTTCGAACAGCGAAATTACTAATTGAGTGCTAAACATGACAAAATTGATCATCAATTGTAAAATTGATGACCTAATTTTAAATTTAGAGCTAATTTCAAATTTCACTAAGATGATTCCAAACACCATCACCTTACTGCTACAGTTTCTAATTGATAATTTTTCAAGATAAACACAATTTCAATTGAATCAGTGAAATTTCCTTTGCAAACAATAACATTGCGTCTTGTAGATCTACAGTTCTCAGAGGTGTCGTTGTCCTTAATCTTGAACCAAGCCCCAACATATTGTTTGTGGGGAGCGGCTAAATCATCTTTACATGAACCTAAGATTCTACTCGATATTGTTTTGGCTTATTTGGGTTTTTTTATTTTTTTATTAAAATTATTTTTTATATTGATCTACACAAGACGGAACCAAAAAAGAAATGAGATAATTTATAGTTTAAAAAAAAAAAAAAAAAAGGCCAATACAACAAAATAATATTGAGCACAGACAATTGGATTCCAAAAAATAAGTGGAGTATTGACCAACTATTCCATTCAAGGACCCAATAATTGGAGGTTGGGGAAGGTGATTAATGTATATTTTTATTAGTTGGATTGAGCACTTAATTATCTAACCCTTCTCTTCTCTCTCTCTCTCTCTCTCTCTCCAAGATTCTGAGCTACCATATTCAAGAAGGCTTCGAGAAAAATGTCTGGAACCAGAGACATTGATACAGGTCTCGATGACAAAAAGCGAAAAAGGATAAAGAGCGAGAGCTATGTACCAGCGAACAGCAGCGGCAAGCTGGCAGCGACGAGCAACGAGCGGCGGCAACGAGAGAAGAGCAGCGATGCAGGGGGTGTGTGTGTGTGTGTGTGAGAGAGAGAGAGAGAGAGAGAGAGAGAGAGAGAGAGAGAGAGTGA